GACATAAACTAAAGAAAATATTTTCTAGCCTATCCGAGAATACCCGAACACCAGCAGTGTGAAGACAGTTGTGTGTCCTCTACCCCCACAAATTATGCCTGACGAAGTCTACTGGAAATTAGGGCAGGACTTTGGAGAGAAGTAAATGGCACCAAATTCAAACATATTTAATGGCCCGGCGCATTTGTCATTGTCTCTGAATATTCAACTGCCATCGCTAAACCAACCACAACCAAAACATCCACAAGCACACGTCAAGTCAAAAACATCCACAAGTACGAGTCGTTACTCTGTCTGTCTGTCTGTCTGTCTGTCTGTCTCTCTCTCTCTCTCTCTCTCTCTCTCTCTCTCTCTCGTCTCTCTCTCTCTCTCTGTGTCTCTCTCACACACCACACAAACCACAATTACTCATAACGCGTCGTGACGCCCTTTCGAAAAGTCGTCGCGGGTTGGTTGCGCCTGTGGGTGCAGAGGCTGGGCCGGGGGCGGGCGGGCGGCGCGGGCGGGCGGCGGGGCGGAGGCGGAAGGAGCGGGCGGGCGGGCGGTGCGACGAGTCCTCCCGCAGGTCGACGCACAGCGCGGCGGGTGCGTCGCAGTTCGTCGCTTCAGTCGCAGAGTGCGCAGACGCGCGCAGAAAGCGGCGCGCCTAGGCCGCTCCGCTGCACCATGTGAGCGAGGGCCAGGACACAGCCGCGTGCCGCGGGCGGAGCGCAGAGCGCAGTTCGCCCAGTAGTCACAAGGCAAGACGGCGCATCAGAACAGATCAGACCATACACAAATGCCACCTCCAACTCACCCCGAGCCAAAAGTAACCAAGTATATTAACGTATGGTAAGTAACAATAAGTTTTTGGAGAGCTCAACGAGGAACGACCACTGTCTATAAAAATTGTCGATGTCGAACAAGCAAGCGAAGTTGTTCCTGCATAAGCATATGCGTTTGGCGGTGCGACATTCATATTCAAGCACTGAGCACAATGATGTGTCCAACAAGGTACAACAACTGTTGACCACCGATGACTATGAGTACAATATTTATGACTACAAATTAATTATTCTTAGAACATTTCTCGAGTACAATCATCATACGTATGTAACATAAGTATTTATCTCATAAATCTCTCGCAGCATAAGTTATAATCAATGAACGCGTTTCCTCCGCAGTAGAAACCAAGGCAATGTTCTGCTTTAACTAAATCGAACAATATGTCCATCCAACATTTTTAATAACCAAGTGAAAGTTTAGTGTACTATTTATGCGGAGTTAAAACACTCCTTTTAATACATAACGAAACAAATAGAATAGCGGAAAAAAGTATTCCTAAACCGGAAGCCTACAGAAGTGTACATCAACACAACTCCTTTGATTAATCTTGCTGACATTTTTGCCACTATTATATAGATCACTCCTCGTTATAGAAGATAAAAATGGAAATTCTGGGCACTATTCAATTGTATATAAGCAACCCATGAATGCTTTGTAGAAGGGTTATACAGCACCAAAAACAAGCATTGCTCATCGTGGAACAACAAAAATTTTGATTAATTCCAAAATATACTTATCAAACCCGACAAATAAAGCCAAAAATATTACATTACGTGTTCATGTACATCCATACTGCATTTGACTGAAAGTTTCAAATTAAAATACCAGTATTTTTGGCAGAAAAACTGTATTCCCTTTGTGAGTTGATCTCACGCGTGTTAAACTGTATCATATTAAGTTCCCCATAAAAATCTTCTTTAAAAAAGAAAATGAAAGAAGAAATTTTTGAATCATAATTAAACATTTTTCTCATTATATATAAAGATTCGATGAACCATTTAAAAATTCACTAACAATTTATCAACGACTACTTCATACTGCTGTGGGTACTGCTTCCCTTAAGCAATCGCAGCGCCATGTTTATTCCACTCTGATAATTCCAAAATTTCCTGTTACGTCGTATCTTATCACTATGAGCAGGTCGCACTCAAGAAGTCACATGCTCGACTATTAATGTGTATCTTCCGCCCTCACCGCCTGACATTACAATGCGATGAGCAAAAAACAATGGCTCCTTCGTGTGTCAATAAGATGCCTATCAAGTCAATTAATCTATGTAGACCCCTCCCCCTCCACTTCCTACTTAACTTCTATTCATCGGCACTTAATTTCTAGGCGCCTCGGTTCATCTCCATATACAAATTTGTACGCAATCGATAACGATCAGGAAAACGGACACAACAATTCTACGGAAATTATCAGATAAAAGGTATGAAGATAATCTAAATTATTTCATTGAAGTACGTTCAACATTCACTTTTATAAACAAAGACTGTTATAATGATGTTAAGTACTAGAGGAATTTACGCGTCTATCAAACCCATATTACTTTACCCATTAACCAAAAAACTGAAATTTTTTAACATACTAATTGGCCATTATCAAAATGTGTAACAAAGACCAATTATAATATTGCTTATAATTAATCTCTGCTGAAAAGGAGCTTGCATTCACGATTGCTGTTAAACTAAAAAATTATTTGCATGTTTTTAATGTTCTGTATATTTATCCTTTCCCCGTTTTAAGAAAAAAACAACTGAAATGATAATTCACATTTTTTGTTTGACTAATCAGATCAATGTGTCAATCTTTTTCGAACAGCTCTCTTGTACACCACCACTCATGAGTGTAGCAATGAGGAAATATTTTGAACTATGTGAAAACTTAATTGTTATTAACACACTTTAACATGCAAGCCTGTTCCAAATACTACAGAATGTGCGATAATGAAATATTTGTCTGCCACCCTGACCTCTTTATTAGACATGTTATTTCCCGTTCAACTCCCCAAACCACGTCATTGAGTATGTTGCAGCTGAAAAGCACCGGCTATCTTATTATTATATTATCTATTATTAT